TATATAGTATAAGCTAATAAGAGATAAGTAAGCTAAAAGGCGCTAAGAATAAATTTTAAAAGTAGTAAAATAATGAACTAAATATAGTACTTCTTTAATTTAGTTAATAAATAATAAGTAATACTAAGATATAAGTTATAAATACGCTAAAAGTATAAAATTATCTAAAAACGTATTTTACTCTTACAAAGGTATCTATAAAGCGTATAGTATAATATATTAGTTAAGTTCTATATTAGTATAAGAGTTTATATAGTAGAGTAGTAAGTAGTACTTATAATAGTACTAAAATATTACTAGTAATAGTATTACTATAAGAGTAGCTAAATATAAAGCTAAACTTAGTATATTAGTTTAGATATATAATATAGTAAAGTATATTATATATAGTATATAGTAATTACGTAGTATATAATATAGTATATAGTATAAATATATAGTAGATAATTATAAGTATAAATATAAGTATAAGTATATTATAAAGGTATTAGCTAAGTAGCTACTTAAAGTAGTAGACACCTAAGGTACTACGTAGCTTTAGTAGACTTAAGAATTAAGTTAATATCAATAGTTAGATTATTCTAACTTAGACTAGAGAGTTTAGATTTAGAGCTCTAAGATCTTAAACTTATTCTTAGTAAGCTTATAAATTAAATAATAAGAATAGATATAACTCTAAACTTATAATAAAACACAAATACTTATCTAAATACTTAAAAAAATTTCTAAATACTTCCTTATCTTATTATAGGTATACTAGTATATAGTTATATTAGTTTTATTTTTTTAGTAAACACTAGTTATAGCTTAAAGTATAAGCACTTATCATCTTTAAGATAGTTAGAAGTAATAAGAAATATACTAAGAATTCTAGAAAGTTTTATTTAAGTTTTAAAATTTTATTATAAAGCTCAGAAAATACTAAATAATAAAATTAAGTATTAAGAAGACATAAACTATAAAAAACTATTTTAATTAAAGAACTCTTTCTACTTATAGTACTATAGGTAAAATTATAGTTCTATTTTAATAAAGATATACTTATATTATATGTATATCTTAAGCTATATTTATAATTAATTAATTAGATATAGCTACTAAATATCTTAGACTAAATATATACCTTAAGCTAAGTAAATGTCTAAAGTATTAGTTCTTAGAACCTAGTTCTACTAGTACTTTTAGCTCTCTATTTGGCTAATATAGTATTATAACTTTAGTATTAAGCTTCTAGCTACAATTTCTTTTAACTTAGATTTACTTCTTTATACACTAGCTTATATACTCTAGTATTATTAAAGCTTATAGAATATATAAAATAAGTACTATATATTCTTGTTTTCTCTATCTTATAAAGCTATGAAGTATAAAACTTTTTAGCTTACTCTTTATAGCTAAAAAAGATTTAAAAAGTTATCTATATAGTAATATAGTATAATTAAAGGTATTAAGAAAATATACTTATATTATAATTATATACTATATTACTAAACTATATTTTACTTATCTTTAAGTATAGGTACTTTATTAAAGTAATAGTAATACTACTAAGTAAAGTAAAATATACTACTTAAGTAGTTCTTAGTACTTAAAATTAACTCTTTTTTACATGTAAATTATTAAACTTTCTATTTACTTACTATAGCTTTTCTATGTTTTTTCTAATATTTTATAGCTAATAAAACTAGAATAAAGAAAGTATTAAAAAGTATTAAAAGCTATATATTAAAGTATTTGTTATGAAATAATTTACTATATAAATATATATTAGTGCCTTATACCTAATTTTGCAGACTCTATTTAATAAAAAGATATTAAAAGACGCCTAGCTTCTAAGTTATCTTAGAACAGCTAGAAGATTTTAAGATTTACAGATTTTAATATATTTAGTATATATTACTATCAGTACTAGAGCTTCTAGATAAACTAAGACTATATACTTATTCATAAAACTTTTAAGAAGTTTATATAGCTTTTATAAACTATAAGATAATATAGTAGTAATAGAAGTACTATAATATTTTTTATAGTATTTATTCTACTAACTAGCTAATAACTATAAAGTAATAACTATTCTCTTACAGTCTAAGTCTTAACAAAACTTAAAGTAGTCTATTATAGCTACTATCTAATAAATAGTATCTTTCTATAAAAGATAAGCTATAAACGCTATATTTTCTTTATTCTATATCTTAGAACTCTTATAAAGCATTTTAGCTAAGGCCTTATATTACTAATATATAGCCTCTCTAATAGCGAAAGATAGTAATAGTATTACTATAAGCTTTACTATATATATAAAGTTATAGAAGAGAATAGTATAAGTAATAGACTTAGTACTAGTAAATCTTATAAAAAAGTAGTATTAATATCTTACTATAGGTAAAGTATTAATATTACGCTTAATAAAAAGCTTATATATCTTACTAATAAGCTTCTTGAAAGTAAAGCTTATAAAGAAGATAATAGAAGGCCTTATACTAGTTATATATATAATAAAGATAATAAAAATAATAAAAGTAATAAAAATAATAAGAATAGAGATAATAAAAATATTAATAAGCCTAGCGTATAGCTTTAAAGTACTAGTAAAGTAGCGCTATAGAGCGCTTATAATAGCCTCTAGTATAGCTAGAATAGAGTAGTTTATAGTAGCCTCTATAATAGCTTCTAGAATAATAATCTTAAGAGAACTTATAAAGCAACACGTTTAAGAGAAAAGTAATTAATTAATAATAAAGAGCTTAATTAAGCTTTAGTAAGTAAGGTAAAATACCTAGTAATAAGATTAGCATTAGACTTACTAACGCTAGAAAAACTTATAAAAGAGGTATTAGCAACGTAGTTAAAAGCTATTTAGTTACTATAGCTTTAGCATTCAATTTAAGCTACTATCTATATCTTAAATAAGTTTTTAGATCTCTAATTTTACTATAAGCTATAAAATAATAATAAAAGTAGAGAATAGAAGATATATATATAGAAATATAATTTTTTAAGCTAAGATTTTAGTATTTTATTACTTTATAATCTATAGCTTAGTTAGTTATAAGCTATTAAGAATATATAATTATATTATAATTCTCTCTACTATAGTATATATAGATATTAGTATTTATAAAATAGTTATCTTACTACTCTAAATTTTAAAAGCTTTAACTACTATACTAGAGATAGTAGCGCTAAGAACTTAAGCCTTAGTCTACCTAATATCTATATCTCTCTATAGACTTTTATACTTTTTTAAGATATACTTTTTTATATACTAGTAATACACTTTACTCTTTTTAGACTAGCTTACACTATAGAATTATTAGTTTACTAATAAATAAATATATATATATATTATAAGTATAATGTATTTTATATTTATAGCGCTATTCTTAGTAATCTAGTAGTAGTAAAGATATTAAATAGCTAGCTTAATATATTAGGTAAAAGAAACTTTAGTTTATAACTAGTATTCTAAAGAAGGCTTAATAATTATAGCTTATAGTAAGTTATATACTTCTAAGTTAAAGATAAGTAGCACTTTACTAGCTAAGTAAAGTAGTATATATATAGTATAGATTATAATATACTATTAAGTTTATAATATTAAGCAAATACTAGATTTTATAATAATTGAAATATATTACCTTCTTTAACTAAGTATACTTCTAATATTCTTATCTATTCTATTTATATATATATATTATATTATATCTATTAAAAGTAGCTAAAAGTTCTATTTAGATAATAGTATTAATAGATCTAATAGTACTACTATCTAGTAAGCTATTAATTATAGTTCTCTTATATACTTATAAACCAAACTTATTTTTTATATATACTACTAGAATATAGATTATAATTTATTACGTAAATTATATAATTTTAAGTTTTTAAAATTTATATTTTCTTAAAACTATTAATAATTAATGCTTTTATTAAATTTTTTTATATCTTATATAAAGCTAGAAGTCTAGAGAAAGTAGAACTTTTAACTTTCTTTCAATTCTTTAAGTTCTTTTAATCTTTACCTTTCTATTATAGATTCTAGACTAAATATCTCTACTTTGTAATAGAATAATAGTAGTACAAGGTATAGAAGAAGTTCTGCAAGTACTCTCTAAACACCGCTATGTACACTCTGCATGTGTTTGTACGTCTCGCCTCCGCTGCTAAGCGTCTTTATGCAGAACTAGTAGATGTGTACCTAGCACGAGGTGGATGTTATGTGATTGCAACTATTCGCTTTCTCGATCGGCACCCCGCACTTTGGGCAGTCTCGTACATTATGGTCTTTCTTCCATTTTGTGAGCTTCTCGTCTTCCTCCATGGCAGCTCTCATCAGAGCTTTGTTGGTCTCACAAGTGTGCCCGTCATGGGGTCCTTGGTGGCAGCTAGAACAGATGGAGGTGAGGCAGCCGTCGCAGTCAAACATTCAAGGGTTTTCAGCGTCCGAGATTCTGTAGAAACGATCGCAATCAGGTGTAGAGCAGTAGTGGAATTCCGTTGCTCGACTACGAAGGTATGACGTCAGGGAAGTCTGGAGAAGATCATCGTATCCAGTTCCAGAAAGAACTTTCTTGACGTCGGAAATATCCAATGGAGAGCCACAAGCTGCGTCCTCTCCGAGACATCTGAGCGGAAAAGAGTCGGCAAACGTGCATTGCGAAACGAGGCAGGAGTTGCAATACAGTAGACGTGGCCGCACGACGTCTTGATAGAGTCTTCCGGTGGGGTGAAGCAGACCGGGCAGAGCAGCTCGGATTCGTCCTCGCTATTGGAGATCCCGGTTATGTGTGTTCCCAATGAAGACGATGCACACGATGCGAGAATTTCCTGTACCCGGACCGCATCTTCCGTGGAGCCTTCGACGATGATTCGCTTTGGGGTGTTGATTATGCTTAGCTTTACTTTGTTCTTCCCGAAAGCGGCGACGACCTTTCGAAACCCACCTTTGAGGGCAAAATCTAAAGCTTCGGGATCAAGAATGACGGTGCGAGAATGCTCCCTCAATTCTGCACACTTAGCCACCAGAGCGCTTTCGACTCGTGCGATACCCTCGTGATCTCCGTATAGTCGAAGAACTGATCGACGTAAATCCTGGTGTACGAAAACCCCATGTGAGGCTCCTAGATCGTCCAGAAAGCTCTTTGTTGAAGGCGTGAAGTAGAACGGGTCTGTGATCGGGCCATGGCCGTGGGTGGCGATCTGACCGGTAAGGAGCTTCTCCACGGCCGACTTGGCCTTGGCACCTGGTACTCTGGACTGCCCGAAAATGCGGACTTGGAGGTATTGTTTGCCCAGAGTTTTGTAGCTCTTGATCTGAACGTAATCTGTTCGCCATGTTTGATCGACTAGAGGGTCAAGCTGTGATCGAATGGCTGCTGGGATTCGAAAGGAGACCGACAATTTGATGGAAACCAGAGGAGTGATCTGCGTCTTATCATTGGAGCTAGGATCGAGACAAGTTTCGTGCATCTTCTTGACCGCATTTCGTGCTGCCTCTGCTTCGCTAAACTTGGCGATGATCTTCGTTCTACTTCCTCTCTTCTGGGGATAAGGAGTACACTCTTCGATGAGAGTACCGTGCGATCGAAGTTGCGTGATAGCTCTTTCTTCTAGCTGTTTCGGAGTGAGATTGTGAGATTGACGCTTTCTTCCATATCCACCGCCCACTAAGGTGACTTGGGGACCTCAAAGTCCCGCTTCGTTCGTATCTAGGTCTAGATTGCCTACTTGCAAGGACCGAGCTGGTTGATACGTGACATCGAGCTTCCGGCCCTGGAACTCATTTGAATCCGGGCGCCCGATGCGTTCGAGCGCCCGCTTCGCTTTCCAGTCCGCGTCATATTCCAGAAAAGCCACCTTGGAAGGATTGAACCATGAACATGTTACGCTAGTGAGCTGAAGTCGATTCATTCCGGATACTGTCTTTCCTGCAATTTGCATTTTCGACACGCGAACTTCCATATCCCGAAGACGAACCGGCGTATCCTGAAGACACTGGAGAAGCTTGTTGGCGAAGTCTGGATCACGGATTTTGATCAGACCTGTCTTATGAAGCTTCTCAGGGATGTGTTTGAGGCGAACACAATCGTGCGTCACCTGGGGAAAGCCTCTGGCGATCAAGAAGTCGACTAGCTCTTGTACAGATGTATGTGGAGACAGGTCCGATGTGAACACGGCGGAGAAGTCCGAAATCAAAGAGATCTTAGAAACAGATGCACCGTTAGCGAACTCCACGGTGGCCCCTCCGATTGTCCTTGGTATTTCGGTTTCGTTACGCTCTCTGAAGGCAGGATTGGCGCGCGCCGAAGTGGGTGTAATGAGGCCGACGTCCTTGATGGGCGTGTGATCCGACAGCGTCTTCGGCATGACTAGACTCTCTCTAATCTAATGACTGAAGAGACATTGCTCTCCCATATTATAGATGCTCCTCTGAAAGTACCTACACGGTACACTCGGCCTAGTGTTTCTTGATGCAGAACGGAAGTCTGTAGACGTGACTGTGGTCGGATTTGAATGCTCGAAAGTACAGAAGTGTCCCTTAGTACATGTGCCTTGGAGATAGAATTTGCAAGGTATCTTTGCTCTTGGAACAGAGCCGCCCGACTGCGAACGGGTAACAGGTTCCGCTTTGCGTTCGGAGGAGGGAGGGGTGGGGACCGTATCGGGATGTTGGAAGCGACACGTCGACCTGTTCGCGCAACGTCCAGCGACGAAGAAGTGGCATATCTTGCTCGCCATCATTGGGAAGAGGTGGTAAGGCGGGCTTCGAGTTCGGGCTCCAGCGTTGTTTTGCTCAAAGTTCGAATGGGCTGCTGTGTAACGTCAAGTCGGCCAATCGCATATTGCGGCGCCAGGCCAACTTCGTCATGTGACGTAGTATCACGCATCTGAGGCAGCAGCGATACGCGCCTGGTAAAATTACTGTATGCAGCAGAACGAGTATGACGCATCGCTCGCTTGGTTATCGCCCGCATCGGTGTCACCCGCCAAGTACCTTTCTACACACTTACATTGTTCCATCTCGCTATCAAGCGATACTATTAGCGTAGGTGATACATCATTGGCGGGTTATCATACAAAGATCTGCTTCGCGACTATAAGCTTGCCCTCCACGCCGCCATGGCTATCGGAGTCAGTTCTCTGGTAGCGAAGTTTTGGGGAAAAGATTACCCAGTGGGCCAGCTCGACGATGGCGGGTTCACACATTTGGCATTCGCCCGACCTAACTGCACAAAAGAGATTCTCTGTCATCTTCTCGATGAAGGCGCAGTTGTTGCTGCGCTCAACCCGGATCGCTCGATATTGCTCAATTGAGTGGTCGCAGCGGATTAGGTTAAGAACGCACGGTTTCCACCCGGAACACAGCCTGAACGAGTCCAGTTCAAAGCAAAGGGCAACACAAGCTCGCACACCGCCATATGCGGTTCTGATCATCGAGACATGTTCGATCTGATCGTCTTGCACGTGAGCAGGATGGATGAGAAGAAGTCACTGCTCGACGCCAGAGATGGATTAAGCTACACGCCCTTCCACAAAGCTTCGCTAGGTCGGAGAAGTCAGAATATCCTGAGGATCCTTCAAAAGTTGGGGCCCAAAATTGAAGCAGTGCATGGGGAGGGTGAGACCCCACTGCAGACCGCCGTTCGCAATGAGAATGCTGGCTTACCTAGGTAGTGTTACATCTTCTTCGAAGTGGCGCCACGCGCCAAGTCAAGACGAAGAATGGTTCGGATATCTGAGAGCTGGCTGTGATCTCCCTGAAGAAGTTCATTGAACACAGATGAGCAGGAAAGACAAAATATGTGTATGCGTTAGCCTGCGAAGGGGACGACAACCGTTTCCAAAGGTCTAGCAGCACGATGGAGACGGTCGACATGGCCAAGATCGACCTGATCAAGACACTGCTTCGGTCTTGTTTATCAGGACGACTCTATCATCATGCACAAAACGAGCAGCGCATCTAGAGAACGTTGGGTGGTGTAACGTTAGTGGGCAATGCTTCCCCTTCCATGTTGCTTGAGTATGCGATGAATAATGCAGACTGTGACACCTACGCTCGATCTTGTTCATCTTCGTACAGTCACATTCCAACAACATAGATATAGCTTTGTCATGAAGTCAAAATGAAAAGCGTCAAATTCTAGGGTATCGTGTCTCATCTAAATAAGTGTTGTACAAGTGCGCAGTCTAATGCCTCCATCCAATCATTACGTTCATTTCCTGTTCTCAGCTACGCTCGCGTCATCACCGACCACGACGATCGCTGGCGCAACACCAGCCTCAGCCTCGCTCTCCTCACTCTTCTTCTTCCTGAATGTGAACAAGGCCTTGATCTTGCTCATACCCGTGCAGCACCATCGGTACACGACGACGACAGGCTTGCCGACAACACGCGCGATGGCAGCGAACCACTCATCGGGGAAGTACCTGATCAGCACTGCCCAAGGAATGCAGACAAAACCGACGACGATGCTGATAGCCCATTGTGTACCATCGATACCTCCGGGCTTGATCTGGAATGCGCGACCACCGACAAAGACGATGAGAACCTGAAGGCCGATAATCATGACGACGATGCCGATGAAGAACCAGTTTCTGAATACACCCTCAAGAACATTGAGCTTATTATCTAGACGCCTGTTGTTGAAGATGTTGAAAATTTGCATCCAGACGAAAGCGTTGAAGATGACTGTGTCGAGCTCGAGTTGCTTATTGGGGTCGGAAAGGTCGTAGCCAAGGATGTCGCCGCCGGCGAAGTATAGCACGAAGATGACAGTGATCTTGTAGATGTTCTGGCCCATGATTTGCTTCCACATCGTTGTTGTGATGAGAGGACCTTTGCCCTGGGGTGGGCGGTCGAGGATCTTTTCGGTCGGTGGGTCGGTAGCGAGGGCGAGGGCGGCGAAGGTGTCCATGATGAGATTGACCCACAGAAGCTGTACGGCTCTGAGGGCTGGCTTCATCTCGTCATCGTAGACCGCGGTCACGAATGCGAGGACGACAGCAGTGATGTTGACAGTGATTTGGAACTACGTTTGTTAGCTGGTTGGAATGAACTGGGAGATTGTGTATGGTTTACCTGGAGGAACTTCTGGACGGCGTCGTTGACAGCCCTACCCCACATCAACGCGGTGATGATGGAAGCAAAGTTGTCGTCCATGAGAATGATCGAAGAAGCTTCCTTGGCAACCTCAGTGCCAGAGACCATGGAGAAGCCGACGTTGGCTGCTTTCAGTGCTGGGGCATCGTTGGTACCGTCACCGGTCACAGCGACAATCTCGCCAAGGGTCTTGAGACGCTGAACCAGGATGCGCTTGTCTTCAGGCGATGAGCGGGCCAGCACCTGTAGTCGCGGCAGTACCTCATCGAGCTGTTCTTCAGTAAGGCGGCGGAAGTCTGGTCCTTCCATCACCAACCCGCCCTCAGTATAGATCAGGCACTCAGTCGCGATCGCTCGCGCAGTTTGCATGTTGTCACCGGTAACCATCCTGACCGTGACACCAGCCTTCTGTGCCTTGCGAACAGCCTCAGGCACACCAGGGCGAACGGGGTCCTGGATACCGACTAGCCCAAAAAATGTGAGATCGCGCAGCAGGGAGGCGAAGTCGACACTGCCACCCTCAGTGAGCGTGGCGTTGACCGGTGGCCATTGCTCGAAGTCGCGGTATACTAGTCCGATAGTCCTGAGAGATCGGTTCGCGTATGCGTTGATCGCCTCAGTCAGTACCTGACGGTGCTCTTGCGATAGCGGCTCTGTCTCCAGTGACTCGAAGTGCGCGAACTCAGAGGCAAAGCTGAGGAGGATCTCGGATGCACCCTTGACGACAAGGCGGTAGTGTCCGTTTGCGAGCTTCACAACGGCACCCATGCACTTCTTGGCCGAGTCGAAGGGGAACATGTGTACCACCTGCTCGCTGTCGCGGGTCTCTGACAGCGAGACGAGTCCGAGATGTTCCTTGGCAAGCTCAAGTAGCGCAGTCTCAGTCTTGGACCCGACGAAAACAGACTTGCCGTCCTCTTGGCCTTCGAAAGCTGTAGAGTTGATTGCGATGGACTGGATGAGAAGCTGCTTTGCAGCAGCCGAGACCTTAGATGCCCATGCCGAAATGGTTTGGTCCTTCTCCGAGGCGGAGTCCGCGTGAACAAAACTGGTGGTGCCGAAAGTGCCAGCAACGACCGTCATTCGGTTGGTTGTCTGTGAGGTATTAGCATATGTTCATGTCCAATCGAGGGATAGTACTTACCAAAGTACCGGTCTTGTCTGAGCAAATGGCTGTAGCATTGCCCATAGTCTCACACGCGCGCAAGATCCTGACAAGGTTGTTCTCCTTCAGCATCTTGGTAGTCGCGAAAGCCAACGCCAACGTGACTGCTAGTGGAAGACCTTCTGGGACTGCTACCACGATAATGGTGACAGCAACGATAAGGATATCCATAAACGCTGAACCTTTCTGGGACGCAGATCGAGTGTCACCGGACAGCCCACCAACAAAACGGAAGAGGAGGACAAAGAAGAGGAGACCAGCAGCTGCAGTTCCGAGGTAAGCGATAGCCATGGCAAGCTTAGCGAGCTTCGCCTGTAGTGGTGTCTCCTCGATCTCGACGCGAACAGACATCATGATACGGCCAAAGCTGCTGTTCTCTCCGACAGATGTCGCCATGAATGTACCAACGCCCTCGAGAACCTTTGCGCCGGAGATGACGAAGGGGTCAAGGCCTTTGGTGGACTGACCAGACTCAAGTGCCTTCATGACGGCGGCACCTGGTGTCTTGCGCATCGCGTCCGATTCTCCCGTAGCAGAAGACTCATCGCACTTGACGTCGGAGCCATCCACAAAGATTCCGTCGACTGGAATGACATCGCCAGGCTCCAGGTGTATGATGTCGCCGGCTAGGACGTCGTAGATGCTGATCATAGCTGTCTTTCCCGATCGTGTGACTTTGATATCGCGTTGCTCCTTCTTCGCATTGAGCTTTGCGAATGCCGCTTCCTTCTGCCAGTCATTTACGGCGGTGACGAGTACAACGATGACGATAGCTACAACGATTGCGCAACCCTCGACCCAGTCGACAGGTGTGGGAGATCCCGGTGGATGTTCCGCACCAAACGTTTCGTAGAGTCCAAGTGCTAGCGAGATGGCCGCTGCAACAGTAAGAACAATAAGTACAGTGTCATTGTACGCGTTCCAGACAAGCCTCCATAGAGGGGTGACCTTCTTCGGTGGTAGTACGTTCCGTCCGTGTATGCGTATGCGATCCTCGAAGGGCTTTCCGTCACTTGGCGGTCGACTTGATTCTTTCTCCTTTGTAGGTGTCTGTGGATTTGTTGCTTCGTCGAAGGAAATGTGCCTCGCAACTGTCGATTC